AAATAGGTATGCAGATCAGAAAAGTCAGAGCTCCGAAATTGAATACTTGTCCCAGATCAGTGCATTAGAAGCCACTGATTCAGAAAAAGTGCCAGGCAGCTATCATTTTCAGGAGAGTTATGCAAAGACAGCCTCCTTGCACCCACACCCTCTAAGGCACAATACCTAAGGCTGATAATGGCAAACAGAAATTTGTATTTCTGTGACCCCAAAAAGCTTTACTAAAGCATTATTCCTAAAACAATGAATGCAGGATCTTGCACTTACAACGCAGAACTAATTCTGAGCCACCAGCCTATAGGTGATAACGTTGTACACAGTGGGCATATGTAGTCTAGTTTTGAGAGGAAAAACAGTGCTTTTAATAACCAGATATTTTTTTTTGCAGGGTGGTTCTAGGATCATAATATTTATAAGTAACCACACATTACAGCAGACCTGTCATGCTTTTTTTTTCTGGCTATTGCTTACAGGAAATGAAATTCCTAATTAAATCACTGTCTCTATCTGGACATGTATGACTACATAATTGGAAACTAGAGCGCAAATCCTGGGAATGTGGGGGGTATAGGGACAGCCAGTGTCTGTGTGTGACGGGTGGAAAAACAAAAATTAATCAAATCACAAAAGGTGAAGGACTTACTTGTGGAGCCGAGGTCCTGTTTTGGAGGGCCCTTTTGGAGTGTGGGCGGTGCGACATGTATTCGGTGTCTCCCAGCAAGTGGAGGGATGGATGAAGGAGGAATCGATGTAGACTGGATGCTGTATGTGCCCGGGGACTGGTGAAGAAGCTGTCTATGGTCTTGATGGCAGTGTTCTTAGGACGTGACGGAGTGAAAGGGACCGAGGGCTAGGAGAGGACGTGCACGGAACAGTGATAAAGGAGCGACGCGTTTCGAGGTGATCCTCTTTTTCAAGTGAAAGGGTGAGTCTTGAGCTTGAAAAAGAGGATCACCTCGAAAACGCGTCGCTCTTCACCAGTCCCCGGGCACATACAGTATCCAGTCCACATTGATTCCTCCTTCATCCATCCCCCCACTTGCTGGGAGACACCGAATACATCTCACACCGCCCACACTCCAAAAGGGCCCTCCAAAACAGGACCTCGGCTCCACAAGTAAGTCCTTCACCTTTTGCGATTTGATTAATTTTTGTTTTTCCACCCGTCACACACAGACACTGGCTGTCCCTATACCCCCAACATTCCCAGGATTTGCGCTCTAATTTTCCCCCTTCTTTCCTAGTTCACAGGTTTCTCCCCCTGTTCTTAGAGCAGCAATCCAGATCATTTGCACCTACACAGACCCTCCATTCCTAAGAGAGCGCTGTGTTCTTTTTCTGTTTGTTGTTTATAATTGGAAACTAGACCATCTCCTAATGTGTGATTGCCACCCAATGTCAATTATACCCTAAAAACAGACTTAAAGTAAAGCAGGGGTAGGGAACCTCCAGCTGTGATGAAACTACAAATCCCATGGGGCATTGCAAGATTCTCACAGCCACAAGCTGGACTCCGGGAGACAGATATATCATGGGATTTGTAGTTTCAACACAGCTGGAGGGCAAGAGGTTCCCCACCTATGCAAAACATTTTAAATACACTTGCACAATGTAATGTTACTTTCCCTGTTTTTAGAGCTGCATTAGTGCTGTCAACTGATGATTATCATTTACACATGAGCTAGCTTTAACAATTATGTTTTGTAGAAAAGAGAGAGTATGTGGAAAGGTACAAGTACTAGCTTGGTTCTGCCACAGTCCCAAAAAGGATGGTTCTTTATTTTCTTCCTCCAAAAACAATTTTCTATTTTGACTGGTGTTTTTCCACGTTCTGAGCAGTTTAGTAAAACTGTGCTGCAATGACAGGTGAACTGAAAATATGGAAGGAGGAGATAACCAGATATGGAAGTTGCTATAGTTGGTTGTAAAATGCTAAGATCTATATGCCGAACATCAAAGTTCAGATCTTTAAACAGAGCTGTAGAACTGTGATGCTGTGTTAAAATCAAAGAATCTGATAATTAATGTCCCTAAGCAGCTATTAAATCCATATTACCACAACAAAATTAAATAGTTTTATAACAGTGGTCCATTTCATTTAAGAAACTGTTGTCCACAGATTACAAATTGCCTTAATCCGTTCCAGGCAGCATGAAGTTGCATGCCACCAAGGGAGATAATGCGAAATTAGCAGATGATGAGATTATTCTACACAACATGCAGGATTTTTTGTTTGTTTGATCTCTTAAAAGAGCAAAACTAACTTATGTGTGCATTCGCCGTGCACACAGAGCAAAAGCATTAGTTGCTCTCAGGTTTGATGTGGACTAGGTAGCTATATCAGTGTACAAAAATTCAGTATGTCCCTGAGCTTTATAGCCTATTTTTATATTTAACATTCCCTTATGCATGAGGATACTCATTGGCCCAAAAATCTAACTTTCCTGAAACTGTAATAACTTACTTTTTTTTTTTGAAACAAACTCAAATGTTTTGTTCCCTTTTAAATTAAACTGGTTATAAAAGTAATACAGCAACTGTCCTCTGATGAAAATGCTTGCTGGTCGATTGTTAAGCTAACTTCAATAAACTAATGGAGCAAGGAACCATGTCACTTATCCATATACATGTTCAAGGCCAGGCATTTTCAGGAGAGATCAGCAATGCCAGTATTCATGTTCTCTTATGACTTCTTTCCATACAAGACCCACTGACTTAGATATGCCCCTAGTGCTACAGTGGGTTTAAGTCACAGCTGTTGTGCCATGTGTGTTGCACATAACTTCCATAGAGCCAGTTTTAGCTGGATTACAAAGGGTTAGTGTAGAGTCCACCTCCTGACTGTGCACACTAACAGGTCTATTCACTAGAGTTAAGAGAAGTGAACAATCTAGGTAAAAATTGCCGATTTATAAAAATTCTCCAATTTAGCTCACTTTCCAGTTCAGCTAATAATCTGTGACTACAAGCACATTTAATAGCATCTTGTTCCATTTGGCCCCCTGTGCACAGGGAATCTTAGGAAACGAGAACTTCTGCAACCAAAAAAAGTAACAGCAAATGTTACGCTAACCTCTATATATAAAGTTGTTTCTTAACAAGTACAACCAACTTGCGGTGTTCCTAATTGTATTAGGTGATAATGTGTGCTGTACTAGCCACTTATAACAGAGGGAGGAGTATATAAGGGTTGCTCAGACTATTGTCTTGTGCTGTGTGATCTGGACTACAAAAAAACACATAGGGGCAAATTTATCAAAACTGGGGCAGACAATGTGGAGCAGCTGTGCATGGCAACCAATCAGCATTTCTTTCATTTTCAAATCTTAACTGAACTAAAGAGAGAAGCTGATTGGTTGCCATGCACAGCTGCTCCAGTTTTGATAACCCCCCCCCCGTGTATCTACTTTACTGTCTCTTATACTGTTAACATTTAGGCAAAACTATTAGCTCAGATAGGCATGATGTCTGCAAAATGCCACAGTTGCAGTGGGCAATACTGCAGAGATGAATCAAACAGAGAGAGGTGGGGAGAAGCGCTCCAAACCAAGCAAAAGAACGGGGGGCGGTTTTTTGGTAAGGGAGGCTGGAAAAGGGGCCAGTATTCATTCCCGAGTCCGAGTGATACGTTCAGTGGTTGATCCAATTTGTCCCAGAAACAAGTACACTTAGTACTAATTTCAAAACTTCAACCCCTATTCATTATTCTGAAGGAAACACAAGGATCTAAATTGGATGTCGGCTACAAGCAGAAAAAAAAGGAGTCACTATTATTGCTCTGAAAAACAAAAGCTCTCAAACAGGCGAACATCTATACATTTTAATAGTTTGATCCAGATGCAATTTATGTAACAAGCAAATAAACTTCTAATACAAAAAATACATACAAATGTTTGTATAACACATTTTTTACCATAAACTTTGCTATGTTACAATAATGAAAGTATCATATAAGGAAAATGTCCTCTGGGTGTTGAAAGCCTGTTTTTTGTCTACATAAAACACTCTGTATAAAAAAATAGCATGTTGATAAGATACGATACACACCAGTAACCCTTTAGTACTGTATAATTTATATACAAATGTAGATACAGATTTGACACTGATTTTAAAAGGCCCAACTACAGCCCTTTTTTAGTTTTGGACAGAGTAGGGAAGATATGCTCTTAAATTGTTTTTATTTGTGGTCTATGTACCCATAAAGGTGTTTTACCCTTTGGCACTGGATCAGACAGGTGCAAATAGCATTGCCTCTAGGTATTTTGTATTGCATTTAGATTTCTGGTCCATAGTGATCAAATTGATTACTAGATTTAAACAACGGTGATAAAGTATCTCTGAAAAAGAGTGATGGGATGAAATATCCCCAAAGGGGTCATGGGCAGTAATAAAGACAGCACAGAAGTATCCTCAATGGGATCATGGCTGGTAATAGAAACAGGACAGAACCATCCCCAATATCACTTTTGACAGTAATCGAAAAAGAAAAAAAAAAGTGTTTACTTACGATTGTTAAAAAAAAATTGTTTGGGCTGGGCTTGGGCTTTAACATGACATCTGATACAAAAGGTACTCAAATGAAAATATGGTAAGACACGCACAATGAACATAAAACACTATACAAATATATATACGTATCCAAAAAGTTATTAACTTTTCCATATTCTGTTGAAATACAAAATTTGATTTTATAGCAAATTACAAAATTAAACATTTTTTTTCTAAACAGCATTGATACAATTTACATAATATATATATATA